GTAGGGCGAGCAGCACTACAAGGCTCCCTGCATGATGTGAGTGGCCTGTCCTGCACAGAGCACAGCAGCCACACGCTGACCGACTTCTCCAGCCCACGTGAAGGGCTGAAGGATTCCAAAGTACTCAGCAGCCACAGCCCGAACCCACCCCAGCTCCCCAGGGGACCACGGGAGGGATCCCACAGCCCTGTCATCGTCCTTCTGGGGCAGGGGATATGTATGGACAAAGCCCCTGGCATGTGGGACCCTCTCCTGTTGGACCCCATCCCACCCTGGGTGACAGCAGGTCTCTGCCAGCACCACAGGGAGAACTGGGAGAGGTGAATCCCTCACTGCAGCCAGAAACCAGGGAAACAAACACTGCCTTTGGCATGGGGCAGCACAAGGGAGCTCAGTTCCCACTCCCAGTCAGATTCAACAGCATCATCCCAGGACTGAAGCACAACAGAGGCACCCAAAAAGCGGCTGCCAACTCTGAGGCTCCATGAGGAAGAAATGCCAAAGCCTCAGAAACCTCTACAGGAGAGCAGGACTCTCGGGCACAGTTGCAAGGACCCAAAAGCACACAAACATCTTTGTGGAGAGCAAAAGGCTCCGACTTAAATCCAGCATTAAAGATAGGGGGGCCATGCAGCGGAGACTGCTCAGCTTCACGGAGCCTCTCCCCCTCCCTGAGCCCAGCTGATGGGAGAGCTCCAGCAAACAGAAGCAGCCCCATCCATGTGCCATGGTTTAACCCCAGCTGGCAACTCAGCACCACGCAGCCACTCGCTCACTCCCCCCACAATGGGATGGGGAAGAGAATCAGAAGAGTAAAAGTGAGAACACTCGTGCGTTGAGATAAAGACAGTTTAATAGGGAAAGCAAGAGCCGTGCATGCAAGCAAAGCAAGGAATTCAGTCACCGCTTCCCATGGGCAGGCGGGTGCTCAGCCATCCCCAGGACAGCCGGGCTCCATCACATGTAACGGTGACTTGGGAAGACAGACGCCATCGCTCCAAATGTCCCCCCCTTCCTTCTTCTTCCCCCAGCTTATATACTGAGCAGGACGTCATATGGTGTGGAATAGCCCTTTGGTCAGTTGGGGTCAGCTGTCCTGGCCGTGTCCCCTCCCAGCTTCTTGTGCCCCTGGCAGAGCTTGGCCAGTCTGAGCATTACCCAGCAACAACCAAAACATCAGGGTGTTATCAGCATTCTTCTAGTACTAAATCCAAAACACAGCACCATACCAGCTACTAGGAAGAAAATTAACTCTGTCCCAGCCGAAACCAGGACAGCATGGAAGAGCCTTGCTGCAAGGGAAGCAGAGATTTGTGCAAGCTTGTTTCTCAAACCCAGTGAACCGGGGGTCCGAGAGCACAAGGGTTAATGGCAGCTCTGTCCCCGAAGGGTGCTCACAGAGCGTAACAGGCTGCCCTCACAGCTTATGGGCTTATGAACCACCAGGAAGGGCAAGGGAAAGATCAGGTGCCTCAAGGGGGGGGATGGCAGTGATGCTGGCTGAGTTTGGAGCGGAGATCGCCTGCTCCAGGCCAGGCTCACCCTAACCTGGAGGCTGTAGAGGGCAACAGGCATGGGAAGGCAGCAGAAGCTAGGGAGGAGACAGTCAGGAGACACAGGCCTGGCCCTCCTGGCGTGGCTGACCCAGCAGCTCCCTCCCTTTCCTCGAGAGCACCCGTCACACTGCTGACAGAGGCCTCGGAGGGAGCTGTCACACCGCTAAATCGGATCAACGGATGCCAGGGCTAAACTGGCCCATTTCCAAACCCAGAGGCTCAGAAATCCAAACAAGCATCTTTGATCTTGATTGGGGGGGGGGGAAAGCAAGAGAAGGAGAGGATGGGGTTTGGGGCTGGAGCTGGGCCACCCTCCTGGCTCAGATACGCCGCAGGGCAGCTGTCGCAGGTTGGCAGCGCTGCGAAAACCGATGCTCACAGATCCTGCCCGCGGGAGGATGGCAAGTGCAAAGCCAGCGATGTCAGTGACTCCCAGCGCTGCTCCCACCTCTGCTCCTCCTCCGGGGCAGAGCTCAGCTCCAGAGCAACCTGCCACTGGGAGCTTTCGGGACAAGCAAGGGCTTAACCCTGCATTAATCTGGAGATCTTGTCCTGTGGAAAGAGCAGCAAAGCTGTTTTCCAGCCGTGGGTCGTCATCCACAGCCACCACTCTTCTGGTGGCTTCTCTGCAGCCACTCTCAAATATTCCAGGTAACAACAAAGGTAGGCAAAAATCTGTTTAATAACCACGTCCTTCCCTAGGTATCTTCCCCCACAGAGGATGGGCAGGCAAAGGAGTGCAATGAGGCCACATGTGTAGGGCCAGGACTGGTGGGAGAGGCAGGCTCAGCCACATGGCAATGAGCCTCGTGCAGAAGACCTCCCAGTGCAGCTCCAGGCACGAGGACCATGATGGAGAAGGGGATGTGGTGACCCACCCAGGTGATGAGGAACATCCTGCTGCTTGCACTGGTATGGGGACAAGAGCAGCAATCCTGCCACCAGCCCGGTGTCAAAGCAAAAGGGAGGCAGGAGATCCCCAGCACGAGCCAGCACGCACAGCAAGGAGCTTTGAAAAAAAAACCCCAGGTCTCTGGAGTGTGTGGCTCAGCACAAACATCTGCTCAGCAGCACCACAGGAGAGGCCCCATGGAAAGGAGTGAGATATTCAACATATGGCTCTGGCAGGGACTGAAAGGGAGCCAGCGGCACGATGACAGCCGCCTGCGGCTGGGCTGGAGGCATCCAGGACACCACTGCTAGTGTCCCAGGGTGCCCAAGGGCAGCTGGGGCTTGGGGAAAGCAAAGTTCCTGTGAGTGACATTTTGACAGGACTCAGGGCCGACACAGGAGAAGGAACATCAGAGTCCTGCTTGAACCCCTGCCTCAAATACAACGGATCAGAAGAGCCAGGGCTCCAGCCTCCCACATCCCTGCTTTCCGTAGGGGAGCTTTAAGGACTCCCCGTACTCTGGCAGCTGGGGCTCAGTGCAAAACTGGAGTTCAGAACAAATCTGATGTTACAGCCTGAGCTGGGTCAGTCACAGCATGACTACTAACACCCAGGAACAAGGCTTCCCCCCTTCCCTTCATCCGAGCTCCACTTCTGCTCCTGCTTACAGGGAAACAGAGTCTTAATTTAACCATGATTAGGATTTAGTAACAAAGCCAGTTAGGAGTGAGCAAGATCAAGAATTTCCACAGCATTGCTCCCCTCTACAGACTTGGTGAAATGCCAAACAGGTCCCAAAGCTAGGACAAGCCCTTAAGCAAGGCCTTGAATTGGGGGTAGAAGTGGTCTCCTATGTCAAGATGGGCAGAGAGCACTGGGAGAGAGCCCAGGGGCCAGCACTGACACTACCTGTGGATGCTGAACTCATTTCTGAGCTCTGCCACTGCCATTTTAAATGCAAACAAAAAGCCACGAGAGCTGGCAGTGGCTCAGTGCAACAGGAGGGGCTGCAGGACCTGAGCTTGGAGGCAGTTTTAGCAGGACCGACAGCTCAGCATCCCTGTGCTCTCTGATGACCTGGAAAAAGGGACATGCGGTTTCCTCTGGCAGGTGTCGAGGTGCCATCTCTCACCCCAATTCCTGGGATGCCAGACTGCCTCTCTCCATCCTCACTGCTCAAGCTCTGCCTCCCTAGCGGCACGGGCAGCAACAGCAGGTTCAGCTGCTCCTGCAGCCTCAACACCTCCCTCGAGCTCTTCCTCACCACAGCAGCAGCTGAAAACAAGCAGTGCTCAGCAATCTGCGGCAGAAGCCATCGATCAGACGGGAGGAGGATCAGCTACGGAGCTGGCAGGGGCCAAAGTGCCCATGCCTGCTGCCAAGTGGCTGAGGCAGCCGCGTTCGTGCAGGAGGCAGGTAGAGCATCGCAGCAGAAGGTGAGCCAGCTTGCCATGGGGGAGAGGGAAAAACACAGCAGTTACATCGATCCCATCTGCCAAGGGCTCACAGCAATCTGCACAGCACCTGGAAGGAGCAGGAAGAGCTTTGCACCCAGACGAGGTGCAAGTACAGGAAAAGCAACAGGTCCTGACTGGCACAGGAGAAGTTCAGAGGAGTTCAGATGCCAGGAGTGGAAGCTCTGGGGAGGAGCTGCTTCTCCCCGCTTCATAGAATAGAATCATAGAATTGCTTTGGTTGGAAAAGACCTTTAAGATCATCAAGTCCAACCTTTAACCTAACCCTGCCATCCCACCACTAAACCCTGTCCCTAAGCACCTCATCTCTCCTTCTTTTAAATACCTCCAGGGATGGGGACTCGACCACCTCCCTGGGCAGCCCATTCCGGTGCCTGACAACCCTTTCTGTGAAGAAGTTGTTCCTAATGTCTAGCCTAAACCTGCCCAGGTGGTATTTTCTGAAGCTGGTCAAAAGGGTACACACACTGGATTCAAGGTGATGCTCGGAAAGAGGAGGGAACCAACATCAATGAGACCATTTCAGTCAGGCCAGGGAGATGAGAGTTAATAATGGGGTCATCCAGTTCCCTAAGCATCCGAAAGAAATAGCTTCCTGCAAATGTTTTTCACTCACTGATCTGTTTACCTGGACAGGCACACACCCTTCCTCCCCACAACTTCTACAGCAAGGATGGAAAGCCACCAAGCCAAAGACACAGCAGCATGGCCCTGCTCCCGAATCCAGCCAAACTGCTCTAACTACCACCCTGAGCAAGCTGTGTTCAATCCCTCTGCATACAAAGGCCTGGGAGTTTGCTGGGTTACTGCTGACTGTTGGGTTCATTGCTTGAGTCAACTTCAATGAAAGGAAGCTGCCAAATTGTTCCCTGAATGTGTTTGATAAGCTACGGACCATCCCCTGCCCAAACCACCCACCTTTTCCCCAGGGACATGCTCTAACCCTTGGTGGGAAGCCAGTCAAGGCCTCTGAAGGAAGTTTTAAGCCTTGGTCTAGTAACTGACATAAGGGAGACACCATCAACCAGACACATTCATCAGCTGATGAGCACCAAGGAGATTTAATTTATCTGTGGAAAAGCTGATTTGTTTGCAAATGCAATGTCTGCCCGAAGCATGGGATGATGGGTTAGAAGTCTACAGCGAACTTGGAGATGGGGACCAGTCTGTTATCAGAGGCGAGACTGCGATGTGAGAAGCCCCCTAGATTGAACAGTAGAAGACCAGGCTGTCAGCCTGGCCTTGTGCTGACAGCTAGCCAAAGTCAACAGCTTGTGAACTCCCACCTCCGCCTGTCAGCTCAGAAGCACACAGTCCCTGGAGAGCTGCGATGGTCCTGCTGAGCCAGCTGCTGTGGGAGGCAGCCCTTCAAAGGCACAGACATCCCAGAGAAGATGGTGGGCAGCTAAGCAGAGGAGCCAGCTGGCAGCACAGCGGGTCCCTTCTAGCACCTTGCAGTCAAAAAAAATACCCGCTCTGAGAAGACAGTAGGGGCAGCAAACCCAAGAGGTTTGAGGATGGAGCCAGTGTTCCACCTTCCCAGAGCCAGCTTTCAAGGAAAGGTGAGGGAAACCTTTCCAGGCCGGTTGTGTACACACCGTTGAATGTGGAAGTACCCTCAGATGACACACAGGTATATGAGCCCTCCATAGCCCTGTGGGTAGGGTGCTCTGGTTGCAGCTGGGACAGAGTTAATTTTCTTCCTAGTAGCTGGTACGGTGCTGTGTTTTGGATTCAGTACTAGAAGAATGCTGATAACACCCTGATGTTTTGGTTGTTGCTGGGTAGTGCTCAGACTGGCCAAGGACTTCTCAGCTCTGCCAGGGGCACAAGAAGCTGGGAGGGGACACGGCCAGGACAGCTGACCCCAACTGATCAAAGGGCTATTCCACACCATATGACGTCCTGCTCAGTATATAAGCTGGGGGAATAAGGACAGGGGGGACATTTGGAGTGATGGCGTCTGTCTTCCCAAGTCACCGTTGTGCGTGACAGAGCCCGGCTGTCCTGGGGATGGCTGAGCACCCGCCTGCCCATGGGAAGCAGTGACTGAATTCCTTGCTTTGCTTGCATGCACGGCTCTTGCTTTCCCTATTAAACTGTCTTTATCTCAGCCCACGAGTGTTCTCACTTTTACTCTTCTGATTCTCTTCCCCATCCCATTGTTGGGGGGAGTGAGTGAGTAGCTGCGTGGTGCTGAGTTGCCAGCTGGGGTTAAATCACGACAGTAGGGGCTGCCTGAGCCACAGATTTCTCCCTTTCCCAAGTGGGATCCACCTTGAAAAATGCAAGCAGAATTTCCTTTGAACAAGAGATTCCCCGTGGAAAGGTGCGCTGTCCCTTGGCATGTGCTGTGCAAAGATTACCAAACTGTGCAAGGTCTCTCTTGGCTCCCCTGCTGCAATGACTCGGGTACAGTGCAGACGTGGTTGATCCAGGGATCCTGAGAATCAGTGATCCAACATGGAGAGCTTCCAGACCTGCCCTGCTCAGCACCAGCTCTTGAGGGACCTGTCAGCAAAGGAGCTGTAGAGCAGCCAGTGCTCCAAACCAGCGACTTAAATCCTGTTGCAAAGGGGTTACGTGACACTGAGCACTGCCAGCCCCTTCCCACATAAATTCGAGGCAATTACTGATCTTCTCAAACTCTGACCACTGCACAGCCAGACCAGGGAGCAGGTAGCCACGGAGACAGCCTGCGACCTAAAGGCTGCTTTGAATCCCAGGCTCTGGGGACAGAAGGGCATGCATGATGTTGCTTGGCCAAATTCAACTCAACAGCTCTCATGCAGAGGTTTTTTTTCCTCCAACGCAAGTTTCAGAGATAGCTGGAAACAGGAAGGCCACATTCAGAGAGGGAGCTTCAGTCAGGGGTGAAAACAGCCCTGGAAGATAGCGAGAAGCACGACTCCAGCAAGAGATGGACAGGCTGGATGCAGCATGAACTCTGCAGCCACATGCAGAGAGAGTTGAGCCCTGCCACCCAGCACGGTACAGGACTGCAATAAATCATGCCAGGTACGTGCAGCAGCTCTGCTGCTTCAGACCAGCTCCCTTCTTGCACAGATAACTCACTGTGAGCACAGCTCTGCTTCTAACCCAATAAATCAAGGCTGAGCAACCAGCCTCCGCCAAGACTAAGTGCCATCAATGCTGCTCAAGCAATAAGGCACAGGAGAAGCCACTCAAAGGGAACCTGCTCAGACCCAACTTGACAGGCTCTTGACCTCCCAGGAAAGGGAATTCACTCCAGCTGGTAGCAGAGCCACATTTTGTGTCTTCTCCTTCAGGCTGTGAGGAGCAACAGCACTTCCTAGGGATCAATCCTGACCACACCGGCTACCACAGTGGAAACCAAGGTGGCTTAGCACTTTGCAATGTCCTCGGAAGAGGCGGATCAGTACTAGTTTACAAAGCCTCAGTTAGATAGTGGAAGGCTTCCACTGACTTCAACAAGCTTTGGATCAGACCTTAAAAATATTTGTTCAACAGGATTTCTCTGTCGCCAAGAGAGTCTTATAAATTCCTTTTTCCTTCTCTTTACAGTGAAAACTAAGACCCTTTAGGCACAGGGATTACAGCATCCCAGCATTAATGTCAACCCCAGAACACAGCTAGAGCTGCAGAAAGAATAAAAATGCTATGGGTGGAAATGACTTGATCTCTGGCTAAAAGCAACTGGCTGACAAGAAAGCCAAAAGCAGCAGGGAGAAGTCAATTTGCTTTCTGCAACTCTCAGCTTGAGAAACACACCTGTACTAGCAGCACAGGACATGAATCTTTATTTAAATAGTTTATTTTACATTCTCAGCAGGGTCTCTCTATACTTCACTCCTTCCTCCTAGAACAAGAACTAGCTCCAAGCCCAAGCTTTGAGAGCAAGACACCCTCCCTCCCCCAACTCTGTATATCAGGGCTTCGCCTAAACTCCCCTAAAAGACCCCATTCTCCTCCAAGCTGCAAGGATGTTAAGTACATTCAAATGCAAATACACCCTCAGCACTTCAACTTCCGTGGAGCTCAGCAAGGTTATGAAACTGAATTCACTGTATCTTTGCTGCCTGATTGAATTAAGAGGTCAAGATGCATCTCCAGCCTGGCACAAGCCCTGAAGGAAAAACACATCATCCCCTCTAGCGAGGCAAGTTTTTCCTGATGCCAGCACTTCACACCATTTCAAACATCGTGGTCAAGAGGCAGCACCGTGCTTCAAACAGCAAATGTCACTTACCAACATACTCAGAGAGGAACACAACAAAGAACGGAGTGACCAGGTCATTGATTCCCTGTACATAGCCGCTGGCTGGGTGTCGAATGGCCCAGATAAACAGGATTCTTTCAAAGATCTAGGGAAGAATGAGGGAAAGCAGGTACCTGCATTAGCCGTGCACAAAGGAAAGGCAGAAAAGCATAACTGCTAAGCTCAGGGAGCAGAGATCATGCGCCAACAGGCTTTTCTGCAGAAATACGGGTAAGACAAGAAGCATACAAGTCCTGGGAGAGACTCCTGTATGATCCACAGGTCCCACACACAGGCCAGCCCACACTTCATAGAACGAGGCAGCCCAGGCTCCTCCTCAAAGCCTCCGCTTGAAGAAATGCAGACCCAGCTTTTCAAGATCCAGGTGGCTTAAGACCCTTACACGCACAGGACAGGGCTGCCTATCAGCAGAGCAGCACGCCTTGCTGAACATCACACGGGCTGTTTTCTGTTATCAGCACAGTACTCCCAGCAAAACATCACAGATTGGGAAAATTCCTAGCAGAGCAGCCTCCCCCAACAATCAATGTGTTGCTTCCAGACTGCCCCAGGCCCAGGACACCACGCTCTGACATACCACATACACATGGCTGAGCTTGTTTCCAAAGAGGACAAGATGCCCAAAGCTCCTGTCCACCTCTCAAACCCATCCCTGCCCGGGTTTCTCACATACTACTTCATACAAAAGAGGTTTTGTAACAAAACAGAACTGATCTGTTCTGGTTCAAATGCCTTGAATTTGTCGCAAAACAAAAGCTTCGGGTCTTTTACCAACTCTTGGCTACACCTTGCCACAAAAGAGCTGATCTCCTAAACTCTGAGCTCCAAGCCTGATGTCTTTCAGAAACATGGGACAAGAGCAGTTTCAGCAGGTATTTGCATCAGAAGCTGTCAGCCAGGGAAGTTTCCCCACAAAGCTAACTCACGAGTGGCAGTGCTGGTCTAACTCCACACACACCCCCCCACGGCAAATGTGGGGCAGGAGCTTCACTCCCCCTTACCTCCTGGACGAGCGGCTGCTGGAAGAGGGGGATGAGTGGGTTGGTCCTTGGGATGTCGATGTGGATCTGGAAGAGAGCGTGGGTTACACACACCAGCCGTGCTTTTCAGGGGCACAATAACTCCTCACAGGCTAACAGAGGGGAATCCACCGCTCAGCGTCCCCCCCCAGGCAAGATCTGCACTTGCTAACAAGCACAATGAGGGCTATGGATAACAACTGCACTGAGAAAGTCATCTACAGTTTTATCTCCACTCTCCTCTGCTCAGGTGTGGGCAGGTGGCCAGAGCTGGGAAAGAGCTGGGGTCTGAAATCTAGTTATTAGGTCAGTTTAGGGAAGGTGTAAACGAATACCCGTAAGACAATGGACAGAAACATGGTGCCCTGTCCCCAAGGAGAAGACTCCTAATAGCTACAGCTAGAGGAAGTCCTAGCATGACCCCAACTGCAAGAGGGAGAAAAGGGATATACCAAGGCAGAAAGGCCAGGCAAGAGGCAGAGGGCTCGTACCTGTCGGTAGGTGTCTTGATGGTGTTCCTCATTCCGGGAATCGTAATACTGCTGGATGAAGCCAAAGTACTCCTCCCGCTTACGCTGCAAAGTCAGCTTTCGCCGCTCCATGTTTGCGGGGAGATAACCCTGCGGCAGGAAAACCCATGTCAGGGCAGACCCTCTTCCCCCCCCACAAACCAGCCCCTGAAATCCTGCCAGTCAGCTGCACACCTGGAAGCATCAGGCACAGAGGCTCAGGAGCTAGTGAAAGAGCTTTCATGGGGTTTGGTTTTCCCAGCCCCTGATGCCTTTGCTGATCTTGGAGCAACCCAACCTTATGGGATTCAGTTTCCCAAAACAGAGCAAGCCATACATTTCCAGCACCAGTGTGGGCTTTGTGCTCAAAGAGGATGTAGCAATTACACTCCCCGAGCAAAAAAAAAAAAAAAAACCAACCTACAGCTCATCTGTAGGCTGGGCACATTTACAACATGAGCAAACCTGGTTACGGGACACACGAAGATCTAGGAGCACATGCCCCTGGCTTGGCACATTCCCCCCAAACTCCTGCGTCACAGGTCCAAGTACTTACTGAGAGGAGACGCCACGTCACGGGCCGGACCTCTCTGGGCACACCAGGCCAGCTGCATTTCCTCAGCTCATCTGCAAACGGACAGTGGTGGCAATGGATTAGATCCTAGGCACGTCCAGGCACCACTACACCTAGAAGGAGAGGAAAGCCCAGTCTGCTCCTGCAGGCTCTGGAGACACTGAGCCTCCAGGAAGGCTCCACATTTGCAATGACTGGGGACGTGGGTCTGCAGCAGGGGGAGCAGAGATGCTTTCAGCTCAGCCTGGGCACAGGACTGGTGGCTGCTGGAGCCTCAGTTCTCATGCAGAGCCCAACAGCCCCCAGTGATCATGACCATCATTTCTGAGATGGAGAAAGACTGGAAACAGACAGGTAGCTGGTGGAGGCCGTAACCATCTGCCAACAGAGCAGTTTGTGCAACTATCCCACTGCAAGGTAGTCATTTATTCCACCCTGGAGCAGACCAGATTGCAACCTAAAGCAGGCAGCAGGCCCCTTCTACCTTCCCCTTCCCACCCACAGACACCCCCATTTTGCCACACTCACCCAGGTCCGTGTTGTGGCTGGAAAGGAGCTGCCGAAACTTTTCCAGGCGGGTTTTCTCCCTCACTGTCATGGGGGGAGCACCCGAAGCATTTTGGTCAGAGATTCGGGCGACGAGTGGAATGACAGGCCGAAGGGGAAGGGACTGCTGCTTCTGAAGGGGGGTCCGCACACAGGCCTCCTCTGCAAGGGATAGATGCTGCAGTGAGGCAGGGAAGGAGACCGCACTTCTCCAACCCTACCTCCCTCCTCTGGCCACTGACAGAGACTTGCCACTGCAGATTTCACCCTTCTCTTCCCCAGCCCCAGCAAACAGAGCATCGCTGACCCACTCCAAGGGATCAGCCAGTTCAGAGGCATCTGTCATGGCTCTTCCATCATTTATCCCCCATTTCTCCTTCCCTGTCTTCCTCCTGCATTCAGACACCTAGCTGCCAGGGGATCAGACTTCCCTCTTCACATGGGAAGCCATGGGCAGAAGGATACAGGAGATGAGGCAGGAGGAGCCCATGGGAATCCCAGAGGAACTGACCTTCAGATCTGCCCTGCTTGTCTCTGATCTAAATAGTGATCAAGCTAATTGCTAGCGCAGAGAGGAGGCGATGGGCTGCCAATGCCACCTGCTGGCAGCAGGGACCTGCTGGGTTACTTCCACAGCACAGGCAGCCATCTGCCTGCGAGAAGGTAGAGCGAGCAGGGGCTTGATGCTGCCCAGTTCCCTGCCCAAGCTGTACCGACCTGGGCTCTACAGGGCCTCATCCAGACCTTTACTAAGAGCAGCACACTGGGCCACAAAGGAAGCAGACAGTGAGCAACCCTGAGCAAGAACTTAACAGCTCTCCAAAATCCCTTAGCACCCAGAACATGGGATCCTCTGATACTGATGTGCCTGTGTGCAGGATACTGAGCAGCAGAGGAGACTGAAGCATTAAGGCCAGGACTCCACAAATGGTTCCTTGGAGTGCAGGATACTACAAGGAGGCAAAAGCCTCTGTTGGGCTTACGGGCTGTGCCACAGCCTCTTGTACGTAACACGTGAGTAGGAGCAACTGGCTGAGTTCAGCAGTCAACCAGGAGAGCACCGGAGCAGGAGACTGCTCCTGAAGACAGCTCTTACCAGATGTCCTGGAGAGCTGGGCCTCGCTGCTGGATTTGATGACCTTGCAGTTGGTGGGCATGTCACTGAGAGCAGACTGGGCCCGCTCAGGTTTTGCCCTCAGCTTGCTGTGGTTCTCCAGAACTTGGGCTGCCGTGGCCTTGGCCACTTTAGAGTTCAGAGTTTGCAAAGAAGAAGAGGAGGAAGAGAAGTCCTCATCTTCATCATCACCGATGTCCCAGGCATCACTGGTGTTGCGGGCAAACTCATGAAAGCTGGAGGCCTTCTTGCTTTTCATAGGCAGCGCATTGGCCTTGGAGCGGTCCTTGATGAAGCTGGGAGCCAGATAGAAACAGTGTCAGAGCAATGCTGCCAGACAAGCCCATTTTCTTTCTTTCCTTATGTCCTTACTCCAATCAGCCAGTCCCTTTTTCCAGTTTCCCCATTCCTCCTCCCAAACCCAAGGAACATGTTAAGTCTCTTCAGCCTGCCAGGAGACAGAGTCCGAGCTGGTGTGATGGCAGGGCACAGAGGCCACAGTGCCAGCAGATAGCTGGAGAGGCGCCAGGCTTCCCAGCTCAGAAGGGCAAAGGGGAGAGACGTACAATTCCTCCAGCTCTGCCTCCCCCCACCCTGCAGAAAACAGGTAGATTAACACCCAAATAAATAAAAAAAAAAGTCTTGCAACCTGGGGAGAGGCATGTCAGAGGTGAGAGGAGCCAGTCTGTGCTCACGGACACTCCTGATGCAGCTGCAATGGGTCCCAGCAGACAGAGCAGCCTGGTTCTTTTCTCAGGCACAGAAGCCTTTGCATTTACCCTTAAGCTACAGGAGTCAAAGTCCACCACCTGAAGCGTCATAGAAAAAGGGAACCTTCACCGCTACACAGCATGAGATAGAGACAAGGAGGCAGTTCAGATCAGCTCTGCCTTTTCCTGCTGGGAAGGGTGCTGCGATTCTGCAGCCTCGCAGCTGCTGGGCAGCTTTACCTCCCCTTCCCTTAATTCTTCTGTCTCCAAAGGGGAGCAGAGGGCTGACACCACTGCTAAAAAATATGCCTGTCTCCTTTGATGTGGCTGGTACAATACAGATTTCTGGCCATAATGGCACCAGCAGATAAACGTTCCCTGCAAGCTTTCGCACAACTCAAGACATCACTGCACACCACTGCTGCCCTTCTTCGCTGGGACATCACAGTGCCAGAGGATGCCAGAGACCTCCACCTACCGCAGGACTGAGCCAAAAACCTGCAAAGCCTCATGGCCTGCATCCCCAGAAGAGAAACACTTACTTCTTGGTGAGCTGAGGATCCAGCGGAGGATGCTGTGCTCCATAGACAGGTTGAATGCTGCAGGAAGAGGATAGAAGAAAAAAAAAAAAACCAACAATGGAAAAAGTCACAGAACACCCATGAATAATCTCAGCCTAGTCTGGGGTCACACTTCTTGCCTGCTGTTGGCAGCTGAATACAGACCAAAAGCAACATCAATGACCTTCTGTCTTCAAAGCCTTAGATCCAAAGTGCCACATTTGGCTGAAGATTTGTTCTTTGCAGCAGCAAAGAGAAGCCTTGTTTAAACTCTTAGGCTCTCCCCAGCCTGAGCTGGGATTTGAGATCTGCTCTTTTCTGCACCACCGATTCACTCTGAGCGACCACGTGTCCCAGTCCCCCTGCCTTATACACTGGCGTTCATTCTCTTTTCCATCAAGGGGATTTCCAGGTAATTCACACTTCCAAGCCCTGTGGGACAGGAAGCCAACGACACTGGGGCTCCTCCACAACACACCTTTAAAGGTCTGAACCCCACCCTGGCTCTCAGGCTTCTAGCCAACACTACAGTGAAGCAGCGGCATGGTTTGACTCAGGTCCAAATCGCAGCTTAATCGACTACCTCCTACGTGGCCTGAAACAAGTCACCACATCTCAGTCCCTCGGCTCCCCTCCCCGTGGAATGGGACTAGTGGGGCAGGGAGCCCAAGGGCTGCAGGCACTACATGGAGAGCATCACCTCGAAGAGGAGCTACTAGATGAGGGCTCATCACTAGTTTTACAGGCTCTGGATGCAAGAGAGGGATCCTGAGTTATTACCTCCATTTAGGTAACTATTCACAGTCAGCCCACCCCAAAAAACCATCTCTGGAAAAAAAGTCCTCCCCATCCCCTGGTACAGAGCACAGCCCCGCATCCCATGGAGGAGACAAGGGCCCATTCAGAGCTGGCACACAAGGGACAGGCTCCTCTTGGGTCCACAGAGTTGGCCTGGTTTCCAGGAGCTGCAGATGGTGACCGGCACTAAAACGAGCAGAGCCCAGCCATGTAGGAGGGGAATGGCAGCCTGGTGCAGCTGGAAAGCATGCTGGGAACCAGTCGATGCTGGGGAGGCAGCAGCAACAGGCCCAGCTGGCAGGGGAGAGATGCAGAGATCCAGGGCAGAGGCTGGAAACAACCACAGCAGAGAGATCCTGGTGGTGAAGGCCAGCGAGGGGTGGGCTCACCGCTGCAGCGGCCGTCCCTCGTGGCTAGAAACGCTGAAAAGGCTCACTGTGTTTACCCACCAGCAATCAAGCCTAGGAAAGAGTTTGCTGACTAATTAGCATCTAGGAGTCAGGACAGCTATTAAGCGGAGGCACCCCCGTGGGTGGGCATAGCAAGCAGATTATCAGGAGTAAGAAAAACAACCCCTCCAGATCAGCGCTGCTTCCCAATGACTCATGGCAGCTCCTTGCAGGAGAGGAGCTGGCAGAGCCTCTCCGATACCCAGCACCAAGCTCGCACCGTCTCGTGACGGCAGTCTCACTGCTGCTCCTCTCCGCGCAGGGATCCACGCGCTGCCGACGGGTGACTGCTATGATTCACGTGCAAAGGCCTGAAGTTCACAAGCCAAACGAACGATGTGTGTAGGACACAGAGGAGGGGATGTGGCAGCCAGCTCTGGGTGAAGAAACTCTTTCCTGGGGCTCTGAAGCAATCGGCCGATGCCTTCACTGGCTAACGGCAGTTAGGGGTCCCACCTCCCAAGCAGCTCTTTTTAAAGAATGTGAACCCAGGCTCCCCCAAACAAAGCATGCCAAGCCGATCTAATTGCACAGCTCATCAGCCTGCACTCCCGCACGAGCAGCTGAAGCCGACAGTCTCATTTCCAGCCGGCTACAGAGGCAGGGCCGACCAGCACCATCCTGCACTGGTGAACTCCAGCTCCTTGTTTGTCCCATCTTTGCCGATTCTCTGCCCTATCCACATATGCAGAGGGTGTAACGGGCTGGACAGGAGGAGTGTAAAAGCTCCGAGGTGTGCAACAGGTGACTAAACACAGGAGCAGATGCACAGCTGCCAGACCGCAAGTTTGTGCCGCAGTGTCTGCGGTACCCTCGATGTTTGACCCTGCTCCTTTAGCTCACGCCTCTGTAGCTGACTCCCAGCAGATCCTACAGCTCCACACAAAGGTGCATTACAACATCCTACTTTTACAGCTGAGAAAATTGAGGTGGGGGAGTGATACCATCACGTGGTGCTCAGTAAGTTTATTTACTCACTCTTGTCTGGTTTTCCCTGATGCAGCTTGGCCAGATGAATCTGCTGTCTCCCAGGCTTAACTCCCTGTCTGGAACTGTCTTCACCTGACTTTTGCATGGACTGAAAGCTCAGGGCAGGCTCTACCTCTCAGCAAACACACCACCGAGTCAGGAGCTGAGACCTAAGCTGATGCTGTGCTTCCAAAGTGCCTGGACAAGTCCTCTGTCCTGTCTCAGTTTAAGCTCTTTGGGACAGGCATTTCTTGTAACCTGTATGTTCAGCGTCTGGTACAACGGCCATGGTATCTGCGTTACACTGCTCACGTGGAGATCACTGCAGGGTGTGGGTTATTGACACTGCAGCAGAAAGCACATCCACGAAACCTCAGTGCCACTTTGGACACAGAACTTATTTATTCCCAGTCGGCTGTTTCTCCCCTTTTAAAACAGCATTAAAATATCCTCCCCGCAGCAGGGCTGCCCATCTCTCTAAAGATCAGGAAATAAACAACCCATCACACAGGGTAACACACCAGCCCAACCTGCCAACGCATCACCAGGAAATTACTGGAGCGAGAATTCCCGATGCAAAAACCACAGGGCAGTATTGGAAACATGAAACAACATTTACTAGTTCTGCCACCCTAAAGCTACAGGGGAAAAAGCACCAACTAAAAGCTAATACAACTGAGTGACCAAATGCACAAAGTGTCATGGAAAAAGAGCTAATGCAATCTCCAAATCTTTACAAAGCCTCCCTCTGCCAGCTTGTCAGGGCAAAGAAAGGAGAGAGCCAAGAATCTGTATGGGAAAAGCTCTCAGAGCTGAGACAAAAAAAAGAAAGGGAGCTTCACATCTAGTGACCATGGATGCAGCACATCACACCTCCACCTTTCGTGGTTGTGTGGCCCAAGACCTGTCGGTAACTGTCCCTGGAAAGGACTGGCACGCAGGGTATTTAGAGGCGGTAACAAGGCTCCTGGATAGCAGGGTATCTGCCAAGCAGCCAGTTAGGAGGAGGGGAGAACTTTGCCAAAACCTTGACATTAGAGTGTGTTGTCTAGGCAGGACCTGCTGCCTCCCAGACCGGTTCACCTGGTTTGAGCTTTCCAAGCCAAAGCTCAAAGTCACCCACTGCAGAAGACAGATGCTGTCTAAGACCACCAGCTGGGAGCACGGCTGTGACCTCCAGGTAAGGGATGGGAGCAATCGGGAGAGAAAATGACCGAGGAAGAACACGGGATTTTCTTCCCCCATAAGCAGAAGAGGAGGAACGTGTAGTGCTCGTTGCTTTCCCTTTGCTTGACGCAGACTTGGATTGTCCCACCAACCTGAGGGAGCCGGCACAGTGACAAAGAACCGAGTGAAAGCACATTAGAAAGAGAGATTTAACTGGCCTAGCAGGATTTAAAGCCAACTAAGCATTTCAAATTGCGTCCGCACACCAGGAGGGGAAGGGCAGGGTTCAGATAAGGCAAACAAGAACAAACGTGAGGAGCACCATATGGGAACAGCACCTGTGGAAGCCTCCCCAGAGAGGTGGGTGCCCTCTCCCCATGGGAACCTTGCTTCCCAGGCCTTGTAGGGAGCACCTCCTTCATCAGCACCAGCCTCTTCTTCCTAAACACGGCTTGAAGCAGACATTTCACTTGTTTCTCCTGTCCCTGGGTGAGTGCGGGTGCCTCGACAGGAACCGGGACATCACAGATGGAGGAACCGAAGCAGGCGAGGTGCACACAGAAAGCCCCCTCGTCCTGAGCAGAGGTGGACCAGGAGTGACACCCCGCATGGCGGAGGATAACAGGGGGGCAGGTGCATTGGCGGGAGCACCTGTATGGGACAGACTTGCTGCCACCCAAGGCGACACTTCTGAGGGCTTTGGGAAGGGATGAGGTTTATTCAACATCAGTGGGAAGGAGGATGGTATAGCCCTGGCTCCGAGGCCACCCCAGGGGGGCCTTCAAGGCCCTGGCCCCCTCCACCCCGCTTCGCCTGGGGCAGAGGGTGCACACAGGGGTCTCCACAGCCCCCCCAGGGCCCGCCCTGCCCTACAGATGAGGGGGCAATCCTGGCCCTACCCTCATCCCTTATGCAGGAGGAATTCTTCCAGCAAAATCCCACCTGCCCCATAGCCTGGGGAGCCCCTGGCATCCCCCCTGTTGCAGGGGAGCCCCCAGCCAGCTGCCCTGCCCCACAGCCGAAGTAGAGACCCCTGGCAGCCCCCCACCCTTGCAGGGGGGTACCCCGGGGCCCCCAGCCCCATGGCCAGGGTGGGCGCCCCTGACAGCCCCTTCCCAAAGCAGAGGGGCTGCTGCAGCTCCCCCACCCAACGCCCCCCAGCTGGGGACGGGGGCTGCGGCCCTTGCACCCCTTCCCCGGAGGGCGGAGGGGGGACACACACACACACACCGATGCCGGCCGGGCCGGGCCCGCGCTCACCT